ATAAACATGACATTAAATTCTTTAGCTTTCTTTTCCCCCTCCTCTGTTGTTACTTGTCTTAAATAAATAAATAAATATATTTTTAATAATGATATTGAAACTGATCGATATTCGATACATTAATATTACCATGTACCTTTTGTCATTTAAATCTGTCTTGTTGCCGACCAGTACAATAATTACATCATTACCTCTTTCAGCACGAACATCATCGATCCATTTAGCAGTATTCATAAATGAGTTCCGATCTTTTAATTAGGACAAAAAAATTTTCAAATTAGAAATAGATTGATCAATTAATAATTAGTTATAAGGATAACATACTTGTAATATCATATACGACCACGGCTACAGAAGAATCACGAATATAGCTTGGAATTAAACTACGGAATCTTTCCTAAATGTTTTTATTGAGTATATATATGATGTTAATTTTCATTTTCAAAATATATGTTCAAAAATAAAGCTTGGGAGGTTTGCTAGTAAAAATGACTTTCAGAAACCACCCATATTGTTATTTATTATAAATTACCTGACCAGCTGTATCCCATAATTGCAATCTGACAGTTCTATCTTCCAAATACATGGTTTTTGATAGAAAATCTATTCCGATTGTAGCCTATCCACGTGAAAATTCCTTTAACACGTCAATAATATTTAATCAAAATTTGACAAAAAAAATTTTCTAATTAAAAAAAGAACCATCTACCTGGTACGTGTTATCGAAAGTATCATACATAAACCGGGTAATTAACGAAGTTTTTCCAACTATATAATTAAACAAGGGAGATGTAAATTTATAAATTTTCTTTGGTCAGTCATCTTTAGACGTTAGAATATAGATTAGCACTATAGGTGTTTAATATGTAGACCAATTGCATAGGCTGTAACCTGACAGTTCTGAAGAAATGCAACAGAACTACAACCAAGCATTTTCAATGAAAATGTTAGTTATAACTAATTTCAATCGTTCAAACATACCACTTTGTTCACCTAAAAACACTAATTTGAACTTTCTCAAGGGATTACTGAATTCTGAAGGACTTGCAGCTGCCATATTTTCTATATCGTAAAGAACTCGTTGAATATTGATTGAGCTTTAACTATATTAGAAAGGGACGAAGTGAGTACGTGGCAACAAAAATCTATCCCTCGAAAAGTATAATATAATTATTGGTTACTGTGGCACAGTGAATAGCCATATCATATGATTTATTATGGTAAATTTAATTGGCTGTAGCAAAAACAGCGGACAATTGGAATATATATGTGATATATATTTTTATAATAATACAATTCGTAAGTGTCCAATAAATAATTTTTTTTTTTTTACATTTGAAAATTTCAGCAGACATTAGCTAAAAAAGGTGAATAAAAAAAAAAATTATATTATATAAAAATAAAACAAAAAGGATTTAATATAATGCGATGCTAATGTAAAATATGACTTTTGAAGTATTATAATGAATTTCGAATCAAAGAATGTCAAAATAAATGTGAAAATTTTTTCAAACGAACCTTTTTATCCGATTATTTACTCGGAATCGCTTTTGACATTTTCATAAACGGCTCCAATTATCTTTAATCCTTCTGCGCGTTTAATTAAAACTTCTTTACTTTCTTTAGAATCTGACAGTACACGATCACAAACTTCTCTTAGAACTCCCTCAACTTCGAGTTTGGAACCTTTCCATAAAGCCGTTAAACCCTTAAATTTTTTTAAAAGTATGTATTTAGATTTAAATTACGAAAATTTCATTCAAATAAAGTTATAAAAAATAAGTAGATTACTTTATTAGCAGTTGCTTCTTCCAATTTACTCTTTTCAACATCGTTCAATCCCTCCTGTTCAGCTTTTTGTAATTCCTTAAAAGAATTCTGAAGATCAATAGCAGATCGCAATGTCGAAATAGTTTCCGAGAATACATGACCTTTCTCTCTTAATATATGTCCAAATCTAGGTAAACCAAAGATTTGATCACCACCTATATACTGTTTAGCTTTAAGTGAATAAGTAAATCCAATAGCATGTAATAATTCAATCCCATAAGATTCAGCTTTAAGATCATCTGCCTCAATCTCGATCACATTCTTAAATTGTTCGGCTCCCTTTGCATCGTTTGAATCGACATACATAGAAAGTTTATGTATTAGATTTGAAACCAATTTATCCACACGTTGTTGTCGAATCTTATCGCGTTCCTCTTCATTCGTTTCCCTACGCATTTCTGCACCGTCTCCATTAGTGTCTTCCGCTGCGTTTTGAAGAACCTCTTTCATATCTCGTCCAATTGATATCTCACCGATGATATCTACGAAACGATCACCACCAAATTGTTGTCTGAAAAAGTCTTCCGGATTAACTATTATGTAAAACAGATAAACAAAATTAATTAATTGATTACAAAAAAATTTAATAAAACCTAGTAAAAATCTTTACCAAAGCCACCCTCAGGCTCAACATCATTTTTCCCACCAAATTCGTTATATTTCTTCCTTAAATCAGGATTTGACAAAATCTGATAAGCATCTGAAATTTTCTTGAACTATTAAAGAAAAAAAAAAAAAAGAAAAAAAATTTTGTTAAAAAATAAATAAATAAAGGTTTTTAAGTATAGTATGCATTCTCGAAAACATCAATTACTTGGTATTCTGCGTCAGGGGACTTATTTTTATCAGGATGAAATTGTAGTGCAAGTTTATAATATTGTTTCTTAATTTCACTACTTGAAGCGGTTGGAGAAACCCCAAGTATATCATAAAGTTCAGTTTCCAAAGGTTCTTGTTCTAAGTATGAAAAATAAATTAGCTATATTATTCAAAGTAAAATTGAAAGATCTTTTTATGATTTCATACCTGTACCGAATTGTCGTCTTGGTTTTTTCGAACTACCAGACTTATTATTATTATTATTATAATCACATGAGGTTGTTCCGTTTGTCTTATTTGCTTCTCGAATGGTATCGAATGTAGAAATTTTTTGACAGGAATAACACTGAACGGATGTTTGCTTGGATTTTGGAATCGGAAATTCCAGTTGAGTACGACAATGACTACATTGTTTATGATCAAATTCTGGTTTACGAGAAGAGATAACAGGTATTCCCATTTTTTGCGATCTAATATTAAGAGAAAGTTGTTGATATATAAAACATCTATCGCAGGAAATTTGTTATTAAAATTTTCATATCACGTGCCTGATTCTTTATCATAGATGATTCTTTTTTAAGCATTTTCACGTGTGCGAAGATTGGGAAATCATTTAATCTCAAAAAGAAAAAATCTTCCCATATATGGAACCCATATTGAATGAGATTGTCAAAAACCATCAGATAATTATGCGAGACTGAATTTAGCCATTACATAATTTGGGTTCTTTTGATATCGAGTTTGTTAATGTTACTGAAAAATATAGGTTTCAGAAAATGCCAAGAAAATATAAAAATAATTTTCCATAATCATAGCATCATAAATTCATCCTTTCAAAAAAAGTTTTTGGATGAAGACTGGGATACGGATCTAACAATTATACTAGTGAAGCGTTCTATTCCACTCTCTATGATCAGATCGAGGTCAAATAGAGTTTTTGACATAAATTCTTTCTTGAAGGCATCTGAAAGTTTCCATCTATGATATAATTTTTTTATGTGTTCCAGAAATGGCAATATTATATCCTTTGGATTGTATAAATTTGATATGTTGGTCAATACTTTATACACAGCTTATTCTATCTCTTACTACATAATCTTCCGCGAATGCTTTCTTAATTTCTTCATATTGAACAGGAATAAAATCTGATAATTTGATTCCATAAATATAAATCTATATGAGAAAATGAGGTTTCGTACTTTTCTCTACATACTCAATCTGTGATATCCATCAAAGACCCAACATAAGATCTAACCTTTTTGATGTCTTAAAAATATTTTCGAATCTTTTTGGCCTTTTTATAATACTCGTAAACAAATCTTGGATGTAGCATTTCTTTTCATCTTATCTATATTATCATAGTTAATTTTAGCAAATTCTAGGAAAGATTTAATATGTAATTTGTCTTTACTATAGATTATATCGTTCTTAAGTATGTCCAATCTATATCCAAGATTAACAGAACAGTACTTCAATACAAAAGACCGTAAAGTTTTCTTTCGAATGACATGGGAGCATTTTTGGATAAAAACTTCCAGATATTCTTTTATTTTGTCAATATATTTACGATCATTTTCAGACCAAGCACTGTTCTTAGCGATGTAAACTTTACACTTGGATAAAATTTTCAAGTTTATTGCCACTACTTCTCTGTCTCTTGTCAGTATAGTTGCTAGGTAACAAGAAATTTTCTCAATCTCCGACAATTTAATGTCTTCTTCACTTACTTCGTCGACGACAAATTTGATGCTTCCAGCAACACAACACTTTACTATAAAATTCACTTTTTTTGTTTTTTTTATTACCTGATTTTTGATAAATATGGAAAATATTTTTGAAAATCGTATAGATCGTTATAGGTGAAATTGAATTAAAAATGATTTCCGAGATGTTCAGCATTTAAAGTTTTGAGTTTATTCAATGAGACCCAACTCTCGATGTTAGCAATAATTTGGTTGGCATTTGTAACTAATGTTTATGCCAATTATTTAAAAGCTTAGCAGGCTTTCATACTTTATTCCTCCCTTGAAAGTTCTTTTGCAATATAAATTTTTGTGTTTTTAACATGAATGCACCGTATTGTGACACAAACAGAGATTAATCCTCAACCGCGCATAAATCTGCATGCTTCCGATCGTAAGATAAATCTACCTATTTTGGATTACTTCCTTGTCCCCATTGCGCTAAATAATATTTTGAGCATGTACAACATCCTAAAAAAAAATAATTTAAGATGCATCATAAATTTTAAATACACGCGTCTCTATTTAACGAAACTTTAACGCGTCGAGAGCTTTACGTTGCATACTACGCTGAAATTTCCACGAACATTTTTTAATACACTCATCATGATGTCTGATATTACCTTTTACACCCGAGAAACTATGGAAAACGTTCCATACAACAAATTTTTCGAAATTTTTTCCTGTGATAAATGGTCTCTTTATCATTATGTGTCCTTAGTGATTGATAATTACAAGTTCGCCGAGAAAAAGAAAGCCCATCGTACCTTTTTCAATACCTTAGATGACATTAATGACAATCATGGCATATCTCAAGAAGTTCGAAATATTGCTCAAAATCTTGTAAAGAGAAGAAAGGTAAGCATATTTAGAATAACCAATTTTGTTTTGATGGGGTTCTCGAGCCAGATACTTGTACCTATTACCACGCCCTAGTAGGAGTCCTGCAAGTATTGAAATGGGTGCGTTTATTATCTGCGCCATAGTAAACTTTATGGAATGTGTCAATTTTTTAGTAATATCTGCTGATTGCGGAAAAGGATTCGACAATGTACCTTTCTTTGCGTTAAAAAAAAAAAAAAAAAAGTATCTATTGACATGTTCCTGCATCCGCCATCAAATCATTTTTTTTTGTCTGATTGTGCTTATTAGTCACCTAGTTTTACTTCATAG